GGCAATAGGGTTAAATGGCTTGTTATTGTTATTAAAAGGATCAAAATGACTTTTTCTTTGTAATTGAAGTAGTGTGTTTATTATAATCATATTCATTTCTTGTGCAGAATATCCAATATGTTTGACCCTCTTTAGACTTTTGTTTCTACACTTAGCTGTCTACTACAACAGTTTGCCAGCAGAAGAAACAGGCCCAACAATTGACACCTCCAAATATCCTCCAAGTGAGGGAATAACTATTGAACTGTGTGCAGGAATTGTTGACAAGGACAAGTGTCTGGAGGAAATAGCAAAAGATGAGATTTTAGAAGAGTGTGGCTATGATGTGCCTATCTCCTCAATAAAGAAAATTACATCATTTAAGTAAGTATCTTCCAAGGCAAAATGTTAGGCACAATTTATTTATTGGAATATTTCTTTTTTCAATTGTATTTTCTTTCTAATGTTATTACAAGTCTGAATAAAATACTTTCAATATGATACATTACTTCTGCTCACATAATAGTTTTTCTCAGTTAATGCTGACTTCTATTTGCACAATTCTCACTTGCCACTAGCCTTGATGCTCCCATCTACTCTCATGTGTTTTCATGTAGTATGACTGTGCTGTAGCACGCAATTTAATATGCCACAACCCTTCACCACACACCCTCTTAGAGCAGCTGTCTCTCTCTATACTGTTGATTACAAATGTTTTTTTTGGTTTGGCACTGCAGTGGTCAGACGTTTTGCTCACTGATAAATTGTATTTTATTATTTGTGGGTTTTGAGCTTAGTTTTCCTACACCTTCATTCAATTTTTTTTTCTTTTCTTGGATTCCTCTGTTATTTTCAAGGAAGTTCAACCGAGGATTGTGTGACCCAATTTTTTTGAACACAAGTTCTCAATTTACAATTACCACAACTTCTGTTAGCGATGCCACAGCCCAACAACCTGGCTTCAGAGATGACCTTATCTGCAGAGTATTGTTCAGATCTTGTTCACTGTGAAGTTGAATCTTTCATCCAGTCTGAGAGTTCTCCTAAACCTTTACCAGTTTTCTCATTTCTGTAAGAGGCTGGCCAGGATGATGAGGACTTTGATAACCTTTTTCCCCCTCCTTTCTTTGCCATGCAATCTTGATCTAAGCCTTTTGACCTACCTTAGCCTTTGTCTGCTTTCCTGGACATGGTGACATGTTTGTTACATTTTGTCATTATTCTCTGTGTCTTATGACCCATCCTCTTCTCTTTTGCATTATCATCCTTCCTCTGATTATTTAGTTCTCTTTCCTTTTTCAGATGCCAGGGTCCATGCTACTTGTTTTGTGGATCAGTTGTGTTCAGGAGTCAGCATGCTACATCCTCCGCACCTGGCTCCTTTGTTGTTGGGATCTTTTGGGTCAAGATGCACTTTTAACTCATGTGCATCTACCCCCACATATTTACCTGATTTATGGATATATTGGAATGTCATGTAGAGGCTGTTCAACAGCACAGTTCTCTTACCTCCTTGTCTGTTGCAGCCTTCTTCCACAATTCCTACCCTTTTCTTTTTTCTCTCATGTCTGTGTCTTCATCACAGGTTTCAATGACAATTTGATGCATTGCTCATTTCCACCTTTCATGCTGCCGGTGAGTATCCACTGGGTATGGTCCCATTAGGACCAGATTGTCCAAGTTTGCTCCTCTTTGATACACCTTCACCACAGATCCAAGATTGTTTCAAATCTTGTCAAAAGAATTCTTGCTTCGTTTGGTTGCCTTTCTTCTGTTGTCCCCTTTCCTGTTTTCTTTCCTCCTCCTCGAGATTCCCTTAACAGCCAGCATTTTTCTGAGACAGTTCAGAATCTTATCTTCTTTCCAAAGTTGCTATCGAAGTCATTGGTCACCCTATGTCAGGGCTCTATTCCTAGTTATTCGTCATTACCAAGAAAACCAGAGACTGGGGTCCAGTCATAGACCTTTCTAGTTCAAACTGTTACATAAACATTACCTGTTTCAGTGTGATGTCTTTACTGTCTCTTTGATATACTTTTACTCTTGTCTTTGGATGATGAAGATGGATGTATTGGATGTGTACCTTCACATCCACATTTCCCAGCATCCTTTTGTTACCTTTGGTTTGTCCATGAGGGATGAGTCTATCAATTCTGCACTCTTCCATTTTTTCTCTACATTTTTTGTTAAGTGGTCAATTCTTTTGCCCATCTATTACACTTTTATGGTCTGTGGATTCATCATTATATGGATGACTGGTTGCTCTTAGCTCCTTTGCTATGAACTTTGTACAGCCAAACAGTTTCTTCTCAAAGAAGCTGCTCATTTGGGTTGGCTTGTTAAGGTGGAAAAGTCTGTTGTTATTTTGACCCAATACCTTGTCCACCTCGGAAGTTTTCAACTCCCATCTTAGTTAGGCCCAGCCTTCTCCTTTTAATTTGTGTCCTATGGAGCTATTTGTTCTGAAGGCTCAATCCTCTCTTTTACTTCCTATTTTTGAGTTTCTATCTTTTTCATATGAGAACACTCCAAGGGAACATACAAGATCAATGGAAACTTGCTAGGGATCCCCTGGGTTCCTCTATCCTCCACCCTCCCTTCAAGTCAATTTTTCTTGGAAGCTCAACAGGGATAACACCTTGGCTGGAGTTCCTTTTCTACCTCCCTGACTGTATCTTCACCTTTTCACTAATGCTTCTCTCAATGGTAGTGTTTCAGGTCACTGGTCAAGTCAGAATCCCACATCAGTCTTCTGGAACTCCTGACAGTTTGTCAGGCTTTGTATCATTTCCTTCCAGTTGTGCGGGACAAGTCGGTTATGATCCATTCCAAAAGTTCAACCATTGTCTCTTACATCAATTGACAAGAGGGCACCCATTCATGTTTCCTTTGTTTTCAAATGTTAGATATTTTCTGGGCTCATACTCAATATGTTTGCCTCTTAGTTTGTCATGTCCCAGGTGCTCTCAGTCTTATTGCAAATTGTTTATCTTGTCCCAACAAAATTTTCCCCACAGAGTGGTTCCCTTTGTCTGCAGGTCTTTCGGTGGCTGTGTTGACAGTGAGGTACCTCATTGCTGGATGCATTTTCTACCAATGTCAATACCAAATTTCCTCTGTTGTGGCTCCTAGTTCCATGTCCTTTGCTTTGGTGGTCAATGCCTTCAGTCAGGATTGGATTAACATTGGTTTAATGTCAGGTCCTTCTGATTGCCTTATTCTGGCCTGTTCAACCATGCTTTCTGTTATTTCTGGTGCTTCAGTCATGACCTTCTTTACTTCTTCCTCTGTCCATGTCCATCCTCCACCAACCTCACATGCCTGTGTTTTACTTTGCCGTTCTCATGCTGTGGCTTCATCTGTGGCATTTGTCCAGTCCCTTGTGAGCTAGATGGACTCTCCACACATGTAACGTCCTTTATTTCACAGTCCGTCTGCCCTTCTTCTTTGTTGGTTAATCAGAAGAAATTGAGCATCTCTCACTGTTGGTCTCTATGATGAGGTTATCTTCTCTCCCATTCCAGTATCCCTCATCTGTCTGATTTCTTCATATGGCTGTTTCACAATGGTCTCTCTGTTTCGTCTATTGCAAGCTATCAGACAACCTTATTTTCTACCTATTGTTTTTCTCACTTCTACTGTGTGTTTCCTTCTCCCACATTTTATTCTTTCTGTTGCCTCAGTCTTCCCCTCACACCTTTCCCGGATTGGAATCTTAAAGTCATTTCACATGCCTCTACTCTTCCCCCATTTGATCCCTGTTGTCCTGTTCCATATACTACCTTTCCTTGACCTACTTTTTGATCCTTTTGGCCTGTAGTCATTGTCTATGAGACTTGTTCGCTCTCTATGTCTTTCATATCCTATTTTATAGTAGTTATATTCTCCTTTATCCTGACTGCTCATTCCTCCTCAAGACCTCAGCAGCTCATAAGAGGAATTTTGCTTTCATATTGATTTCCCTACCTTCCATTTCCCATTTATATTCATGTTCTGCTCCACATCATCTCCTGTGTCCTGTATGGATTCTTAAGTATTATGTAATGTGTACAGCTTCCTTCCTTTATCCAATGGAATCCTTCTTCCTCCCATGACTTTACCCTGATTACACTTACAAGGTTGGGTTCACCAACTTATCTATTTGGCTCATTCCTTGTTATTCCATGATTCCCAGTGCCTTTTCCAGGTCTGTTCTCACCAGATCTGCCACCTCTCCATGTCGTTAGCTGGTTATTTCTGTCTTCCATTGGAGAAAATCATCCAGACTGGCATGTGGACCATGCTGCATGTCTTTGTCACCCATTATCTACATCATTTTGCTGAATCCTCCTCAATCAGATACCGTCTGTCTCCTGATACCAGCTTGCTCTTGTTGATTCAACCATGAATGGGTATGTTTTTCATTTCTTTTTCACTTACAGTTACCCTATGCTTCATTCTGGATCCCACTCTGTAATGAGTGGTGATTGTCCAGGTATACTTGTCAGTTGGTAATCCCCTATCCTACCTCCTCCTGAATGCTGATTCCCAGAGATTCTGGTTATAAGCTGGCCCAGCCATCAGATCTGCCCAGTTGGACTTTTCAGGTCCATAATGCTTAACATGAAGATGATATGTTCCACAGGACTGCACCCAAACTGTATGGACTCATGGACTATCATAAGTAAAGCAGGGAAGGGATTGCTGTCCATCCTTTTATCCCTGATTGACTACTTCAGGATTGGCCTGCTTTTCAAAATAGGGTTTTGCAGTCACCCATTGCATTTTCTCTGGTGCTGCATTTATCCAAAATCCTCACTATGCTATTTTTCCCTCTTCTAGTTGGTTTTGGACTGGAGTTTACTCTCCACATTGCATTCCACCTTCCTACTGTCACCCAGATGTCAGGTCCTTAGGTGTCTGGTGTTGGTAGTGTAGGCCTGGATTTTTGGAATGGAAATCCTTTTTCCTTATGATTCCTGAGCCTTATGTGAAGATGGTTGGGACCCTTCTCCTACTGTGGCCCAGATGCCCCATTCCTTGTACTACCAGGTTTTGGACTGGAGTTGACCCACCGATTACATTCTGATATGCCTTAGCCACTCTACGTCATTCGTGCATTCATTTTGTTGGATATGCTTCTTTCTGCTCTTTTCATTTCAATACTATTCTTCACTACAGGGGAAAATTATACCCGGTACAGATTTGGTGTGGTCTCCCACGGATGTGACTACATCCAGTGAGGTTTCACACTCCATGGGTTTACTTTGTGCACTTTCTGAAAGGTGCTTGTTTGGGTAACTTTGCACTATCTACCCACCATTTCAATCTTGGATTTTAGCTATAATATTTGAGAGGAGGAAGATATCCTGTTGGAAGTTGATATTTTCCTACACTGAAAAAAT